CAGGAAAAAAACAAAAAAACCACCCGGGCGGGGGGGAAGACTTTTAAACCATCAAAGGCAAAACCAAACCAATTTTCCCAAAGGTACCCCCCCCCAAAAAAAAAACCAGAAAAAGGGGTTTCGGGGGGGAAACCCCCCCCCCCCCCCCCCCCCCAGCTCCACCTGCGGATGTCTTGTTTGTGATGGTAGCTCCAGTGGTACTTGGAACATGTTTTTTCACGTTGATGAGAGGATTGAATGGACCGATTTTCGGATGGCTATGGTTGAGGCAGAAACCCGTACGTAAACACCCCCCCCCCCGTCGGCACGCCTTCTGTTGTTTTCGCTCTTGGTTAATATCCTTTTGCGAAAACAAGGCCACATTCGCATCAGCACGTTCATCGAGGATGTGGCTGACTCGAAGGTGCCGCTGAGCCACAACAGCAAGAAGGAGACGGGAATGGTCGGACTCAAGAACCAGGTGAGCTTTACCGCCGTTTTGTTCTGTTGCGTCGATGTGTTGTTGTTGTTGGTGCTGCTGCTGCTGTTGTTGTTGTTGTTATTGGTGTTGTGGTTTTGGTGGTGGTGTTATTGTCGTGGCTGTTGTTGTTCGTGGTGGAGGTTATGGTGGTGTTCGATGTGATGTTGGCATCGATGATGGTGGTGATGATGATGATGGTGGCGGTGGAGATGATGATGCTGTCTTCGGGTGGAATCGGTGTTTGATACGTCTTTGCTGGCCACCGCTCTGTCTCGCCACCCGGCTGCTGATGCCGCTGCCATTGCCGCTGCTGTTGCCGAAACTCGTCGTGCCAACCAGGGGGCTACCTGCTACATGAACAGCCTGCTCCAGACGCTGTACCACGTGCTCTCGCTTCGCCGAGCGGTGTACGACATGCCGACGGAGGAGGAAAACAGGTGTGGTTTGGAGCCAAAACGGACGTGTTTTTTCGCGGCGAAGAAGGCCGTTGCGGCGGCGCAGTTCGTGACGTTTCGAACCTGCGAAGAAAATTATTGTACACTCGTAGCCCCGTCATGATAGGGTACCTTTTAGGAGGGGGCTCCGATATATGATGGTCGACGGCCTTTGTCACACCGCCCGCTTATAACAGAGCCACGATCGTCTTGAGATCGGTCGCGTTTACGAACGTGTGCGATGGTTCGACCACGTTGACACGCGGTGGGATTTGGTGATTTGTGTCTTGCGCGGCACGCCTTGCTGAACCTCATGAGGGACACTCGTTCACACGCGCCCCACTGTGTAACGCTCGAAACGTTCGAAACCCGCGCCTGGACAGCGTGACGAGCATGGCGCTGGCCCTGCAGAGGGTGTTCTACCGACTCCAGACAAGCAGTAAGAGCGTGGGGACCAAGGAGCTCACGAAGTCCTTCGGCTGGGACGCGTATGACTCCTTCACGCAGCAGGTGTGTGTGTGTGTGTTTGTCTCTCTCTCTCTTTTATCTCTTTCTCTCTGTACTCTATACATATCTGCATGGCTCTGTGTGCAATTTTGTCTTGGTCTCGAAGACCGCTCGCTGGAATCGGCGGACCAATCCGCGTGCGCCACTTAAGAGGGACAACACACCGTGAAACCGCTTCACCTGTACCTGGGACCTTGTATCATTTTTACTTGTTGTTTCACTTCACAAGGCCACCATTGCCGGCGGACAACTGAAGAACGTGGCAGTACATGGTATACATGGGGCGGCCGTGGTTTTGCGTTGTTGCTGCTTGGTTGGCGGTTCTGTTTCTGCGAGCGGTCGTGAATTGGTCACGCGTAGAGCGAAATTCACGGTGCCGGGAACTGCTGAGTCGATGCTTTTCATTATCTCGCCTCTTCGATACACCGGCCTCGTCAGAGGCGTGTTGACTTTTTTTGTTTATGTGAAAACACACACACAAAACTAAAGCCATACCGACCGCGTCATGACACAAACGGACGTCAAAAACCATTGCACCGCAGGACGTGCAAGAGCTGAACCGCGTCCTTTGCGACCACCTGGAGGACAAGATGAAGGGGACGCCAGTGGAGGGAACCATTCAGAGGCTCTTCGAGGGCACCATCCGGTCGTACATCCAGTGCGTGGACGTGGACTTCACCTCGGCGAGGGTGGAGACGTACTACGACATCCAGGTGTGATGAGATGACGGCGTGTAGAAGTACGACACGATTATTGTGTTTTTGAAGTGTGTGTATTTGTTGTTGTCGGCCGATCGACCGCGCTGACCGGGTGACCGAAGGATAAGTCAAGTCTCTGTTGCGTGACGTGACCTGCGCAAGATATATATGCCTTTTCAGGTGGTTTGTTTGAGGTTTTGTCTGCAAGGGTGTACAATTGCGCCGCTTGGTATGGTCTCTTGAGGTGCCCTTCGTCGTCGGTGTCAAGCCTCCTTCAACTCGACCACGGATGCGAACTCCGTCGATCAACAGAAGACTGGTGCTCGCTTGCGCTACTTGCACACGAGCACGCATTGAGAATGAACCGGCAGTCGACGACGTTTGCATGTGTGCTAAATATCGATAGTTGTTGCTTGGGGGACACCATGGTGTACGTGCGAGAAGGGGGGTCGCCGCCGTGGGCGGGGTGCTGTCTGCGACAAGGCGTCCACGTGCAGTGGTAGGGCCTGAACAAGCCGCCCGCCCGGTGGGGTGCCTCGCTGCTGCTGCTGCGGCTGCTGCTGGTGATGACATTTTTAATTCTGTGTTGTCTGCGTTTTTCCCACGTCTTTGCCTTGTGGCGTGCCAGTTGGATGTCAAGGGCTGCAAGGACATCCACGAGTCGTTCGCCAAGTACGTGGAGGAAGAAGTTCTGGATGGGGACAACAAGTGAGTTGGTCGTAACGGGAGCAGGGCACCGTGACGGGATGTACCAAAGCAGCAAGAGAACCTTGACTGGGACATACCGCGTGTCTTGCGTCTTGTACAATGGTCGTAGCGGACGTCGGCATGAGCAGGCTTAGCTATTATGGCCATGGTCTGTGAATGAAACCAACAAATCGTTTGCTGGCTGGAGAGGTGTCGCTTTTTCGGGGCGACGGGAGCGAAGAACCGCCGACGGCTAGGTCGGCCGGTTGCCTGAACGTCACCCCTTACCCCTTGTCCAGGAGGCGGGACCGTTCGCGGTCCTGACACGCCGCAAAGTACGTTTCTTGTGCTGCAGCTGAACCCTCTATGAAGTGACCGATACCAATCTCACCCATCACGTGTTGCGATACTTCGACCAAGTCACACACGTACTTCGACCAAGTCACCCAACGACTACGTAGATTCATTCGGGTTGGTTGTCGACAATAGTACCAAACCATCCCCCACCCACACCCCACCACGTGTGTTTCGATGCTTTCATGAGCAAATTCCACCCCCCAACGATCACGATTGCGATTGATATGCATGTAGTCATCACAACGTGTTTGTCTGTGTCTGTCGGCCTGGTTGTCCACCCTCTTAGGTACGACGCAGGGGAGCAGCACGGCAGGCAGGTGGCCAAGAAGGGGGTGAGGTTCCTCCGCTTCCCGCCGGTGCTGAACGTGCACCTGAAGCGGTTCGAGTACGAGATGACGACCGGGACCATGGTGAAGGTCAACGACCGCTTCTCCTTCCCGAGGGAGATGGACATCGACCAGTACCTAGGGGAGGTCAGCAGCTTGTTGTCGGCGTCGTTGGTGGTGATGGTGGTATTATAGTACCACAGGATGTCGTCAGTTTTTTTTTTTTGTGTAGGTGTGTATACCGCTGTTTTTACGTCTAGTGTTTTTTTTATCAAGGCGTTTTCGACAGTGTCACCTCCGTAAGCGTGAAGGCGTGTTGGTGAGTACGACAGCATTTTAGCTCTCTGTTGTGTGTTCCGGAGAGTGTGGTTTGACGCAGTCGGCAGGAGCTCCGCTGCGATCGATCAGCTCTCTCCTTTCCTCTCCTCTACCACACCAAAAAGCAGGCAACGAGGTGGTGTTTATTCCAATACCCCTTCCCAAAAAAGAGCAAGATCGACGCACAACAACTAAAACAACTAACTAGAGTACCAAACGCGCATGTTTTTTTTTTTTTTTTCAGGAGGCCGAGCGGGACCCCCAACGGCCGAACCGGTACATCCTTCACTCCGTTCTGGTTCACTCGGGGGACGTCCACGGGGGTCACTACTTCGCCTACATCAGGCCCGACGGGAGGGTGAAGGGGGGGCAGTGGTGCAAGTTTAACGACGAAGTGGTGACGCAGGTAGGTGTGGGGGGGGGGAGGGGGGGGGGGGCTTGAGGGGTGTGGATGTGTTTGGTTGTGGGGCGGGGTGGCGGTTGTGTTCGTGGTCGTGGGGGGGGGAGGGGTGGCGTTGGTAGTGATGTTTGTTGTTTTTTTTGTCGTCGCTGTGGTTGTGTGGGGGGGATGTCAATGTAGCGCAGGTTGGAAGACGTACGTACGACATGAAGGCCATGCGTTGTGCCCTTTGGTGATGACGTTGCGACCACGATGTGGCGTGGTGCTTTGGAGTAAGTGTCACCTCGAAAAGACCTGATGCGGACGCCCAGCAGAAATTATGGCCAGGCAAGCGTTTGAGGATCAAAGGGCAAGGCAGCCCTGTTGAAGGCCAAAGCCGAGGTTGATCGTGCCGTGCGTTTCTTTTTGCAGGGAGAGGGAGGCACCTTCCTTCTCTCTTTGTGACCGTGGTTTAGCAGTCGGCATACAGAATGAAAAGTGGCACGTGAACGCGAATTTAAGGATTGGTTCGGTTTGATGTCTGAGCCTGGTACCGTTTACCAGAACAGCCCCCCCCCCACCCCCAGAGCATGTTTCCCATCGTCCGTCCCCCCTCCTCGTTGTATTCTATCTAACTGCTGTTACGATACATGTAGGTGGACGAGTCGGAGGCGATAGAGGGCAGCTACGGCGGGGGCCCCGACGTCCTCGAGGAGAGATTCAGAGATACCCACACCTTCTTCCCGAGAGACGTGGACAGCGACGGCGGTGGTGTCGTTGGCAGGGGTGAGGGGGCAGAGTCCACCAAAGATTTTTATGTTGTTGTCGACAACAGGGAGGTAGTCTTCGCTCTCTGTGTTTTGATTTCCTACTTTTGTATGGTTGTTGTCCTGGAGAGGGGAAGGGTGCTGTCGACTTCTTTGATAGTAGTACACAGAAATGTAGTATCGCTAGGTCTTTTTTTGTTCTCATGGATACACAAGGTGCAGCAAGGGAGCTTTATTTTAACGTGTGGTCGTGTTGTTCGTGTGTGGTAGACTGCGGCAGTAGTGGACAAGTCGCTCATGACATCAAGGAGCTTTGCCCGACCCCTCTTGCTGTCGTTGAGCGGTCCGGGTGACGTTAGCGAGTCAGTCGCCGCGGTTAACCTTTGTTGTACACCCCTTGTCTTGTTTGTTACTGTCGTTGTTGTTCTTGTAGTTGTCCTCGCCTTTGTGGTTGTTGTTGCTGATGGTAGCGGCGTGGTGTGCTCGCGCCCATCCTCGCAGGGTGGGCGGTCGGCGGGGACAACACCTCGGCCTACATGCTGGTCTACGTGAGGGAGTGCGACCTGCCCAAGACTATGTTGGACCTGACCAGCTCCGAGGACAATGTACGCACACCCTGTTGGCCGCTTGTTTGTCGTTGTTGTTGCCGCGGCTCGTGGTGGGGGTTTCTGCTGCTGACGTTGCTCCGCTTGCCGTGGTCACCGCCGAGAGTTGTTGCCCATTTATTTCGTCTCGTACTTGATGCAGTACCCTAACGCTAGTTTTTCCGAAAGCTACGCATTTGCCCCAAGAACTTGTTTTGTCGCTTGTCGCGAAATCCACGTATCCCAAAAGCTATTTATCCCCAAGTTGTATTTTGTCCCATGAGCCATTTTATCCCAACAATGTTAATCCCCCCGCCAAACACAAGCGCATCATGTTGCCCGATTTCCACCCATCTCACGTGCACTCTCCCCCCGCCCCTACGTAATGCCTCTTTTCATGTTTCTGTTTCTGAAAATGCTTCCGTCCTTCCTTCCTTCCTACTGGTATTATAGGGTATCCCGCAACGTCTCCGAGAGCGTTTCGTGAAGGAGGAGGAGGACCAGCTTCGTCGCTTCATCGAGAAGAACGAGGCGCACTTGTACTTCACTCTCAGGGTAAGGGGATATAAGGGGTGGGAGGAGTAGAGGGGGGTTGCGGTGGCACCGAAGAAGCTCACGGTCTGTAGTTTTTTTAGGAAAATGTCCCTTCCATGGATCAGCAAAAACTCCGAAGGAGTGGATGTTTCGGCTGGTGTATGCATAGCTACGAACGAAAACACACACACAAACTACCCAACACAAATCACACGCGCACTGCCGGCGCTTCCCAGCGGCATCGGCTGCGTGACTGGTACGGCATGGTCTCGACTTTTTGGTCGTAGATATGGTCCTGCGTAAACGTACATGACGTTGGTACGAAACATTGTTGGTCGTGTTGGCTGAAAACACCTACTCCTCATTTGTTTTCTTTCCCCAAAACGGAAGGGGCGAAGGGTAGGATGAGAACATTCGGGGCTGCACTTTCTGACAACGACACGTCGCGCAGAGGTTGGTGAGGTAGTGCCATGTATGGGTCCTTTTGTTTTGTTTTAAAAATTGCCCCTTTCAAAAGGTAAGGAGGACCTGTATGATATAATGAATTCGGAAACGGATGCGTGCCCTGAACGATAGGCGGGTCAGAAACTTAGGACAACGTGTATATCCCCGCCCCCCCCTCTCTTTTTACATTATGTAACTACGTAACCCCCTGTTCGGGCGGACGAACGCAGCCCCCACCCAACCCTCGTTGTCGCCGCGGCGTGTTTTGAGACTCACTGAGCGTTACACCACCCGTGTTGTCGGTCTTGTGTGTGGTGTGTGTCAGGTGGCGAGAGATCCCGACCTGAAGGGTCTGAGAATACTCATGTCGGAGGAGTTCATCAAGTGGGACAACACCATGACGGTGAAGGTCAGGAAGAAGGCGCCGGCGGAGGAGCTGGTGAGAACTTGCGACACCGCTATGACGCTGCCGTGACGCACTGAAGTGAAGTCGTGGCTGGGGATTGACAAGGGTGGGAACAAATGGCTCTGCGCATGCACAGTAAAAAATCTCACCAATCACTGTACGTGAAACACTCAAACAAGAATGAGAGGAACGGGAGAACGAAAAAGAACGGCAGATGTGTGTTCGGCGCGGCTTGCAGGAGCGTGTCTGGTCGGCTTGCACGTACAGTAGTACAAATAGTCTTGTGGTGAACGATGGCCGACGGAAGTGCGAGATCTCGCCCTGTGCCCCAATTGACCGACCCGCGCCCCCCGACACCCCTCCGCGCGCACCCAGTCGAGAGTGGTGGCGAAGGCCCTGGGCATCCGGACGGACCGGTGCCGTTTATGGGTGTGCTGCTCTAGGGAGAACAAGACCTTCCGACCGGAGTCGGCGTTCCAGGGACCGTTCCTTGCCCACGAGACGGTCGAGAGTGTGAGTTTTTCATTGTCGGCTCTTTTTTGTTTTGATTTTTTTTTTTTTGAATCATAGTTAGGGCATACAAAACCAACGCTTGTACGCGTCTCGAGCAAAAGCAATTGTCGTTGTGTTTGTTTTGAATCCGGTTTCGTCCTTTTTTAAGTCTCTATGATTGCTGAGGAGAGAACAGCCGTCATCTTGGGCATTTCACACGGAGCGTCAATCTTCCACCATCCTCCCTTCACTCCCCCACGATACCCACCAGTGCACTGTTTGACGCTACTGTGCCAAGGTAATCACCGAATTCCCTTGTGAAGCACTCTGCGTCGTGCAGTCTTGCGGCATGTTTGTCCTGAGCATCACCAGGCAACTGTGCTTCCCTTACGTCAGTTTCGTTTTCGGTGCAGGTTTATTGTTTTTTTTCTCCATTTGTTCTTGTGCGTTGTTTTATGCGTGTGCGTGTTTTTTTCCCGTGTTCGTTGTTCGTTGTCTTGGCACCCCAGCGTGGCTCAGTAGTATCCTTGCAAGTTTTTTTTTTTTTTTTGTGCGTTTTTTTTTCGTGTTTCGTTGTTCGTTGTCTTGGCGCCGCAGCGTCGCTCAATATGCTCTCAAGTTTTTTTCTTGTGTGTGTGCGCGTTTTTTTTTTTCTTGTCTCGTTGTCCGTTGTCTTGGCACCACAACGTTGCTCATCATCCTCTACAAGGTCGGGCCGATTCAACAGGGGTCGCTTGAAGAGCTCACAAGAGTTAGGTTGACGTTTGGTGTAATGGTTGCCTTTTCGGCTCTCGTTTTCCCCTTGGCTTGTCGTTGTCTTGTTTTTGCGCTGAATTGAAATTTGCGTTCCCATGTCAAACAGGTGTTCAGCATCACGGGTCCGCCGAGAACGATCGGCGGGGTTGAAATTTACAGCGTCTTCGCCGACGAGGTAAACCATGATCTGTCTGTTGAACCAACCACAAGTGTCGTGTAACAAGTTGGCGCCGAGCTCGACAAAGGATGAGGCCTGACCCACTGCGCACAACCAAAAGCCGAATGCTTGCACGGTTCTCTGGGCGAGATATGACGTGACAGGGGGAAAGAGCGAGAGGGAGAAGCGATAGAGAGGCAGCAGTTTTCCATGTATCGTTGGCTTTTTTTTTATCGCGAGAAGGGTCCAGCGGTTCCTTTCCCTCGTCAATGGTGCTAACGTGGGAGTTTGGTACTCACGAGCTTTTTCAGCTTTTTTTCGCTTTCCCCCGCAAATCTGCGAATGTTTTGCCCCGTTGGGATTCGAACTCACGACTTTTGCCACCAATAGCGGTTTCGAGGTTACCACTAGATCACCCGGGCAATCTCTTTGGTAAATACATACGTGTACACGAAAAAAATAAAAACAACAGGTGGGAAAATACGCAGCCGTCGGGGTGACGGACAACCCCCTGATGGATGGGATCTACCGCGGGACTGTCGGCACAGACGGGGCTATCAAAGTCATTGACAGCAAGCAGCAGTGCAGCGGCGGCGGCGGCGTCAACAAGGAGGGCAAGGGCGGAGGGGCGGGGCGGGAAGCCGGCGACCGCGGTGTGGGGGAGTCTCACGATGCCAAGCGGTTACGATTGGAGAGCGCCGGCAGAAATAACGGGGCTAGCGGCGTCAAGAAGGAGGGGGCCGGCGGAGGGGAAGAGGAGGAGGATGACGGGGGGGTTGGTGTGGATGGGCTCACGGCCGAAGAGCGACGAAAGAAGCTGGAGAAGGAGGACGAGGAGTTACAGGTGTGCGAGAGAGAGAGAAATCGGGGAGAGAGAGAGAGAGAGAGACAGAGAGAGAGAGAGAGAAAGCTGGGAGTGAAGAATAGTTCTTGCGGCAATTGATCAACAAGGTTTTTTTTTCCTTGTTTTCTTGGGGACACCACTAACGCACAACGGATGCCGCTGCCCAAGACCCTTTGACAACATGTTTTGTTATCCCCCGTATGTAGCCATTTTTCTCGTCCGGTGCCTGTTGTGGTATCTGCGTTTTTTTTTTCCACACCCCGACTTTTGTTGTTTTTTGGTGTCCCAGTAGACTGCAGTTCTGATCAATATTTTTCGAGCCGTCGCGTGTTTGAAGTTTTTGTTGGAATAACCCCAGTCGGTTTCTGTGCCATCTGCCAACCTTGGGGAAAAACATCCTTATGAACCCTTTGGCTCCTCACTTTTTTCTGTTCTGGTTGTCACCCACGCCTCTATTCTGACCTACCGTGGTATGTCGCTTCTTGTGTGCCGTCTTTTAAGGCTACCGTACCAATACCAATGCGTTAAGGCATAGCGTACCAATACCAATGCGTTAAGGCATACTGTACCAATACCGATGCGAAGCATACCGTACCAATACCAATGCGTTTTCAGGCATGCTGTACCAATATCAATGCATTAAGTCATACCGTACCAATACCAACGCGTTAAGGCATACTGTACCAATACCAATGCGTCTCACTCGATGGAAGGTGGTCTCGTTGCAGTGCGGCGGTTGGCATCTTGCGCGACTCCTGGAAGTTTGTTTTTGTGTTGCCCTGAGCACTGGCCTACATGAGGAGTTCGTAATCCGACTGGCTTCTTTCCTTGGGGTGGGGAGGTCGAAAACGATACAGAGCAGACCAACGTTATTTCTAATATACATAGATACAACAACGACTTTTTGCATGAATAACTGCTGAGTGCCGTACGGCTACATGGAACGAGTTCGAACGGCCCACTTTTTGTAAATAGCAGCAAGTGTTCGGAACAGCAGCCACTTTTTCGTTGCGTTTGTTGTGCTAATGTGCACTTGGGTGGTGCGATGACGAATGCATACTCAGGTGGACAAGGTGCGGCTAGGCCAGGCGTATCCGCTGATCGACGTGAACGATGTTCTCATCTTCCTCAAGGTGAAAAGAAAGCGTGCGTGTTACGTTCTCATCTGATCTATATGTATATGATTGTATGTAGGACTTGTTTTGATGGCGTGGGCGCTGTTGCTGCCTGCCTTGCAATCGTATCTTTGTTGTTGTTGTTGTCATTTCGCTCATTCGGTGGCTCGATAGTGAAACTCGATATGTTCATTTGAACAAGAATGGGTACTAGGCGACGATGGAGCGTTGACTGTTGTGGAAGGTTAGTAGGGGATACCAGGCGGATGGCTCATGCCCCCGGAGGTACCTACCGCGTGTGGAGAACCCAGTTTGAAAGTGAAGTTTATAAGGAAAGACACAAACAAGGGGCCCTTTTTCCAGTCATTTTTTTCAAATTCTTCTCGTGGTTTTCGCGGGGACCTGCTCATGTACCCCCCCACAAGCCTGACGCTGCAGTAGAACTCACGAAACTTGACGAGTCATGCTCACGGCACAACATCTCACTTCGCCTACACCGCATCTCCCGTCCGTTTTTTTTTTTTTTCCTTTTCTTTTTTGTTTGTTGTGTGTGGTGGTGAAAAAGCTGTTCGATCCGAACGGCCTCCCGCTGCCGCACCTGACGTACGTGGGGCACACTCTCCTTGCCGGGGATGCCTCTAGCGAGATAATCGCCGAGGAGGCAATCCGGCTGTCCGGGTTGCCGCCTTCAACGCCGATCGACTTGTATGAACAGGTATGTGCGTACAGCAGTGAATAAGTAGTCTTGACGGCTTGGGGTAGAGTTTTCTCGTCTCTCTCTCCCTCCCTCCCTCGCCTCTTGTACAAAGAGGTACAATACAGCAGTAGAAGGAAGGCTGGGTAGAGTGCTGGCTCTCTCGTCTCTCCCCCCTCCGTGTATCTTTTTGAGTTTTTGTGCGTGCGCAAAAACGGGTTTTGGCTGGGGGTGCACGCCGCATGGTCTCGACGTCGTTGTTGCTATGGATGTGGTTGTAGTTGTAGTAGTAGTAGTAGTAGCCGCAATAGTAGTTTGTTGGTGTTTTTGGGCAAGTGACGTGCGCATACCTTTTTTTGTGGGAGAGGCGATACGGCAATGCGGGGACTCTAAGAGAGGTACAGAGGGAGGATGGCAGCCCGCGGCCACCGTAAATTGCCGGTCGTTTTCGCTCTACATGTACCGTCGGGTATGTCGTTGTTTGTGGATCGATAGACCTAGGGCCAAGGCGGGGTTTTGCTTTTCTCGCGCTCTATTTAATCGATTTCGGCGACATTGTTTTTCCGTTTTTTTTTCCGCGTGCGGGCGTGCGGGCGGGCGTGTGTTCTCCTGTTCCTAAGTTTTGAGCCACCTTTTTCACACTCGATCGCTGCTGCGTCTGTGTTGTGGTTGGCGTGTTTTTTCGGTCCCGGAACGCCGCAGGTGACGCCGAGGGTGGTGAACAAGGTGCCCCAGGACAAGACCCTCAGCGAGAACGAGCTCCAGCACGGGGACATAATCCTCTTCCAGATACGCCCGGACAAGGTACAATATGTTGTTGAGAGCAAAGTTAATGTTGGCAGCGGGACGGCACCCGGGGTTAACCGGCCAAGTGCGTCTGTCTGCCCTTTGGAGGTATTTTGCAGGGAACAATGAAAGGTTCTTGGAGGGGGGGCTGAGGTTGCGGCGCAAGGACCTAAAAGTCAGAACCGGTGCTGTACGTATTTTTTTGTTTAACACGTGGGCGATTTTTGAGGGCCACTACAGCTAAGATGTACTTCTAATATTACATCTCCTCAGCAGCAGCAGCAGCAGCATCAGCAGCAGCAGGAGCAGCAGGAGCATCACCACTACCATCATCGTCGCCAAGTACCGAACTTGAACATCGTAGTTGACACAACGGAAGTCAACACCCCCAAGATGCTTGCAAGGCACCGCAAAGTTCCCCTACAGAAGTACAGAACGCGCCACCGCTTAAGAACCCAGGATTTAAGAAATTGAGCTTCTTTAACTAAAAATTTTAAGAACTTGAGCAACATTTGTGAGCGCGGTGAAAAACCTACACAAAACCTATATCGCGACCATTCGTAGCATGGCCCTATTTAGGAGCTAAGAACCTCAGCCTCCGCCGAAACTATAGTAGAGGTTTTTACGTGTTGGTGCGTTCTGTAGTTGGCGTCATCGCCGATCGATCGATCGCCCATGTTTTCCCGTCGTCAAGAAGCCCTCCAGCACGTGGGCGGCTTGGTACTGTACCCGACAATCAGAGAGCAGATTTATCGATTGATTGTGCTCGCCTCTTGCCTTGGCTTGCCCTTGGGCCTTGGCTAACCATATCCTTTCGAAGCGTCACTAATAACACTACCTCAAGAGAACCCCCACCCACCCACCTTCCCATCCAAGAAGGTCGTGAAGCCCGAGGGCGAGGATAAGATGGACGTAGAAGGGCAAGACCAACCACAGCAACAGCAGCAACCGGGAGTTGGTGGAGGCGAAGCAGGCGCCGCCGCCGCCGCCGCCCCCGCCGCTGCTGCCGCCCCCGCCGCCGCTCCCGATGGAGCTGGAGCCGGGGCTGATGCTGCCGCCGCCGCCATTGCCGCCGCCGCTGCGGGAGCAGGCGTAGCAGGGCAAGGCGGGGGGGGGGCTGGTTCGGTGGCATCCCCGGAAGGAGCGGGGGTGGCGGCAGTAGCAGCAGCAGCAGGAGCGGCGGGGCCGCAGAAGGGGGCGGAGGGGGAGGACGTGAAGAGCGGGGCTAGGGTGTGGACCGGGAAGGCGGGGATAGACCGGGTGCTCTTCGGCGGGACATGGCGCGTTCCGGGACACACGGTGGGTTTCGGTGGTTTGGCGTTTGGTAAAGGGGCCAGGATTTCTTTTCGGTCGGGTTGGAGCTTTGGAATGGCGGGTGTGGGTGGGGGTGACGATATCTCGTACTCTTGAGCAGTGCGCGGAATCTTGCGGTATTGATTCAGAGAAAACTGCTGTATGGACTCTTGTCTTGGTCCTGTTGTTGACTTTGCTCCCGCGGAGGCTTTGTTTTGTGCATGGAATGTAGGCGTGTGCACAACACGACGACCCTATTGCGTTTTTTTTTTTTTTTTCTTTGCTACGGGCATCGCTCGAGGGAGAAGTTGGGTCGGGCCTTCGCGTTCCGTTTCCGACCGACAACCAAATTCGTCGAAAAAATTCGTCAACGAGTCGATACCAAAGCACTCACCCAACAACAAAAACACAAACTCCGGAGTAAGAAGACATCTTGCGCCGTTTTTTTTTCGTCCTTGTGGAGCAAGATACCCCGAAAACGTCTCTTTAGCCCAATATTCGTCGCAATAACTCATCAACGAACCGGTAATATTACACTCACCGAACAACCAACACCCCCCCTCCGTCTTTTGGAGCAGGAGACCCCTAAGACGTTCCTGGAGCAGAGGTCGGCTCAGCGGGTGGTGCACTTCATGGGCAGGACGGACCGAGACGGGGTCCTGCTCCCCGAGGGGTCGATGACGCAGGACGGAAGAATGCCTGGGGTGTCGGTGGAACTCCCTCGGACGGCGTCACACCGAGAGGTTTGTATTTTTTTTTTTTTTTACTTCATGAGCGCTCCAATCCGTGTGGTAACACTGTTTTTTTTTTTTCCGTGGGTGTTGGGACACTTTTTTGATCGGCGGCCATACAGCTTTTCTGCCGGGTGGGACAAGAGCCAATCCGTGGACACGTTTTTTTTTTGTTCGCCCCTTTTGCGGCGAGAAACGGGATCGTGACGCTGCCTTTTGGGTCGCGGGACACGGTCCGAGGTATTCTTGGCACGATGTGGTCAGCGGGCCCACCGCTGTGTGGTGTCTGCGGCATGCTGTTTTGTGTGGGTGTGTTTTTTTGTGTTGTCGCGGCCGGCTTTTCATCCCCGCACTTGCGAACGACACCGAGCGAGTGGGGGGGGGTGGTGTCCAACTAGGACTGCGAGAGTTTTTTTGAAAGGGTTTCTCCCGATGAGCGTCAGGAACTACATGAACTTGTTGCAGACCAGCAGTGCACCAGATTTTCACCAATCTTTTCCAACGACGGCCGGCCGGGAAGGCCAAGCTTGACCTTGGAAATATCGGATGCTGTTTTTTTGCTTCTTTTTTTTTTTCTTTGTGTCGCAGATATTGGAAACCCTTTCGAGGCGCCTGGAGTTGGTGGACGACCCCCTGCTGCTGAGGATCTCGGCGATGACTACGGGGGGGAAGCCGCAGGTACGGTGACTCGTTTGAGTGTTTCGCTGTTGTTGTTGTTGTTGTTGTTGTTGTTGTGATTTTCGCTTTTGGCCGCTATTTTTTTTTGTTCTGGTCTCGTTGGTGATGTCGGCATCTTTGTCGTCGTCGTCATCGTGAATGCGTGGACCCGTTCGGTCCGCACTCTTCGGGTGTACAGGGCACGCGGGTTCATGTCGCGATGAACGACCTCTTTTGGACGTGACGGTTCTTGTGGTGCCTTGTGGTGCCCCTTCCTTACTTGCCGTTGCGTTACCCCCGATTTATCTTTTCTTCGCGATCGATCAGCTTACATCGCCGTTGTCCGGTGTCTGTGCTCCCCCCGTTGTGCGGTGCCCCTTGTTTGTGTCTTCCGGGTCTATTTCAGTCGTTCCCCACCCGGGTCCACATGTCAGACCTTGACCTCCCGCAGTTCGCTTTGCACAAGATCCTTGACGTGAACCAGGGCGCACACCACCACCACACGATCCTGTTCGAGGTACTGTATGCACGGGGGGATTTTTCTGTAAATAGACGGATAGAGAGGGGGGGTGGGGGGGGGGGGGGCTCTAAGAGAGTAGGACCGCTTCTATGCATACAGATGATGAACATATTTTGGTCCTTGTAGCCATGTCTCGTGTTTTTTTTTCTTTTTTTTTCCGCGTACTCCGTGGGAGCGTAGTGTATTATTCTGTTGAGTCGGCTCGTCTCTCAACAGTCTTGCGCCGGTTGTTGTTGTTGTTGTTGTTGTTGTTGTGTTTTTTTTTTCGTGTCCAGCTGCTGCCGTTCCCCATGAACCAGCTGACGGCAGCGACAACCCTGGTGGAGGCCTACTCTTCCGACGCCGTGCTCAAGACCCACTGCCTCGTGAGTATGGCTATGTATACAGTACGCGGCAAGACTCCACGGCGACCTTGAGATTTTGTGATGATGAGGGCAGCACATGGGTTTAGGAGAGGGTTCGTCTGCTTTGCTTTTGGTCGCTTGTGGTGTGGTATAATTTATGGCCATGTGCAGTACGCAGCAAGACTCCACGGCAACCTTGTAATTTTGTGGCGATGAGTACAGCACGTGAGTGCATTCTTCTTTTTGTTCGTTTGGTCGGCACGACTTGTGACCAATGGGTGAAGCCAAAGGGCTGTTTTGGTGCTTGTTCCCCACGCATGGCAGTATCACAAGTTGGTAAGTCGTCGCCATCATGTAAGGATTAGAAATATCAAAGTAGAAAAAACCGCGCCAATGTTGACGGAATCGTTCGTTGCATGGCTCACCAGCACAAAAGTCGGCTTACAACTTAGTTTTGATCTGAAATGGCTCCAAGTATTCTTTTCCACGGATTTTCCTTCTTTCTCAGTGCCTCCTCCGCCCCTCTCTCGACGCCTGGCAGCGCAGAGTTTTTTTAATAAAACGTTCTTCTCGATTGAAATTCCAATTCTTCGGAGCTCTCCGGTGCACATTGCAAGCTGGGCGAAATGGTGATGGGCACACCCCGCGTTGGGCACGCATTTTCATGGACCAACGACGTATGCAGATCCTCTTCTACCCGTCATTCCCTTTCCCCCCACCACGCCATCTATCCTCTCGCCGACGTACGGTCTCACCCGTTCATCATCTGTCTTCCACAACACTCCCACCACGTGTTCCCGTCTGGACACGTGGACACTGGCTGTTTTAGGTATATTCGACTCTTCCTTGTCTATGAGTCACCCGGCCGCACACGCTCTCGCTAATCTCTCTCTCTCTCTCTTTCTCTCTCTCTCTCTGTCGAGTTGTAATCGATCGACATCATGGATGGATGCGCACCTACCTACCAGTCCTCCTCCAAGCCCTCTTTAAGTCAGTCTCTCTCCTCGTCACTGTCTATTGGGCTGCACACACGTGTTGGTTGTGTTTCTGCCCTCGTTATCATCGCCTACTACATACTTCTACATGCGTTGATTACATACTTGTACATGCGTTGTTCTCCTCTTGGGAATATTACGATTTTAAGCGATCAACAACAAGACAGTCGATTCTCTTCGTTCGGGCGGCGGCGCGAAGCACCATTGACCCGAAAATTTACCATACACAATCATTTAGGCACGACGGACTGGCAGGCAGGGTGCACTCTGCGTTTTTGTGGCTGATGGCACTCATCCTTGACAAGTGTCAGACAAACCAGGCGTTGTTGCGTCCGTCTTCTACATGAGGTAGAATACGGTAGGTAGATTCATGATGGCGGCGGCGCGGCAAGCGCCAGTAAAAAGTATCATCTTCTTCCAAATGTGCTAGATACGTGTAGATGCCCAATGCCCGACGTTGTCCTGATCCTTCAATCAAGTGCATTCTCCATCAAACACAACGCAACACAGCAGTGGTGGGGTCATTTTTCACCTACACTGCCTGGCCTCTGCACTCTATATTGATGCTTGCCTTGGAATCACTCAATATTGGTCTGTGGCGCGAAAGCGCC